ATTATATATTTGCTCAAGCAAACAAAAGGAAAAGTAGAACATTTATTTTGAGATTATCAAATGCAATACACACTTTGCTGATTTTATGTAATTAAATCCATTCCATCCTGAAGCGACATGTGATTTATCTAATCATATAGTGAGAACAGGTATTACCAATATTAAAGCAGGAAGTACTTTTATTGTTACAACTCACAGCAAAATAGGGAACAAACCCCAGAATTATTACAAAGGAAGGGATCTTATGCCAGTTCATGTCTTTTCTGTGTTGACACAGAAATATGTATCATAAGCCCCTCTTAAACTGACTCACTGCTTTGGCATCTGAAAACTTCTGGTTCTCTTGTGGAAAGCTAGTGGTGTGAAGATTTTTGAGTTCATGGGGAGATTGAATGTTCACAGTTCTGAGCCAGGCATCTGCAAATTTGCATATTTTGAGGAAGTACAAGCTTACAGTTGTTTTTTCTCCATGATCTGTCACTGGTCCTTGTTGGCAGCAGCCTATTGGGCAAAGCAGTAAGATCCATAATGGGCTGTTCCTACATTTTATGTTGCTCAGGCACAGCTTTTGCATAGGTGTCAAGTGGTGCTTTAGATGGCAGGTTACATTTTAACTTGTTTTAAAAACTGATGATTAGTTCAAAGAGAAGGAAATTAAAATCAATTTATTAACTTCCCTTATATAACCATTTATCTTCTTTTGTTGGGTAAGAACAAGAACAGGATTGTAGTAGTTTCAGAATATTTAAGAACCAAAAGAGAAAATTTCCCCAGCCTAAGAGCTGTGCTAAAGCTAAGCATTTATTTGATGAGAGATGCTTATTATAATCACTTTTTAACGATTTGCTCAGCAATTAAAATCAATCATGCTGTTTAATTTCTCTTAATTTGGATACTTCAGATATACGCTTTATATGAAATTCTTCCTTCAAAACTTGATTAGCTGTTTTTAATAATCTCCATTACTCCTGAATCTTTCAACACACAAAATATTACTATTTTTTTCACTCACATCTATTTTTATTTCAGTTAAATCGCTGGTCCCAAGATGTACAGTATATATTATGCTCTCCTCTGTGTATTTTTAATTTATCTCTCTTCACATTCTAGCCAGGCTCTCTGGACAACCAAAGCTGCATAAATGTCAGTTAAATCTCTTTATGTTTGTGAAGTGGAACAATCTCAGTCTATTTACACAACTCCCATTATTTTAGTTTTAATGCTAAGATGCCACTGAAATTCCAAACTCATATGCTTTGGTAGTGCATAACTTATTAATTTCAATTCCTCTTTTTCCACTGAATTTAATGAATCCTGTAACACTAAAGTTCAGGTACTTCATCACAACATTCAACTGTGGCTTTGAAAGTGAAGTTTGAATTTCAGTTTCATGCTAGACCACTGCAGTCACACAATTGGGTAAGACAGGCAAGGGGCTGAAGACTCCTCTAAGACGTCTTGTGCCTCATGCTGCAGCGACACAGACCTCATGAGAGGGGTCTTGTTCCCACAAGTCCTGGCCACTACTGATCCTGCCAGGCATGAATGCAGGAATGTGGGAATTCTTGTCTGAAGTTCTGATGAAAGCATGAGCCTGTACTGTGTGAAATGCTAGATCCACAATAATTTCTAGAATTGCAAAATCAAGGGCCACATTTCCATGGTATTGTGATTTGGAGAAAAAAAAAAAAAAAAAAAGAAGAAAAGAAAAGAAGGCTTAAACCAAAAATGGAACAGCTGAAGTGTATGAAATGTAAACTGTTAAGTAAGCTTTCATTTCAATAATACCATTTTTCATTTTGTGACCTTTTTCCACCCAGGCTTGATAATCTTTTGGATAACATTAGAGAAGGCAAAGGTTATAAGATTTAACTGATATCCAATATTGTCAGTGTTAAAATCTTTGAAATGCTTCTTTTAGAAAGACGCACAAAAAATGAAAATGAAAAACTGCAAAGACTTTTTTTTCCTCATTCATCTTTCTTCGGTCTTTGGAGCTTTTTTCTACTGGCAGCTTGAAACACAGATACAGCAAGCAGTCTAAGCAATCTCCTCCGGTCCTGATACACCAGCAATACATAGTTCATTATATTGTTTTCTCATATCAAGCCCAAATTTCAGTCATCAGCAGCTAGCTATGGCACATGTTTTTGAAACAGAAGGCAAAAACAGATGGAAAAGAATGAAGAATCTCAAAACACATAAAATCTATTTGTCTTTAACTTATTTGAACAATGTCGATTTTTCCCCACCAGTGCCAGAAACACTGGTGAGATGCACTGATGAGTTCATCAGTATTGTTATTTATTATTCTATTAGTGGGAAGGCAGGATGAGGAGAGAAAAAAAAGAGTAAATAGAGTGAATGTACAGGTTCTTCAGTATTTAGAGAGAAAAGCAATGATGCCTGCTCAGTCATTATTGCTTCTAAAATGTCACAGTATCCTGGCATCATGACAATAGAAGTTGAGCAACACAGGATTTAGATAATCCTGGTTTCAGAATCATAGAGCTAAAGGAGATTTTAAGAAGTTATCCATTTTATCTCCACATTGCTAAGAAAAATCAGCTTTTGCTGCATCATTTCTCAGTGACTGCCTTGCCTATTCTTAAAGATCCTCCTTTATCTAGATGCTGTACAACAAAACTACTTATTTTTGTCCTTGTCACTAAAAAACTCTTGCTAATGTTTAAGCAGAATATATTTTAAATGCTTGCTATGCATCCCAGCTATTACAAAAGCAGATACTAGCAGATACTAGACACTTCTTCTTAGGTCATCACTTCTGCAATAACAATACTAACAGTAAAAAAAACTCATCTTGGTCAAAGAGCAGGAGAGCTTTCCCCCCTTCAGTTACAAAACAAATATAAACAAATAAAATTGAACAAAGAGCATTTTGACTGAATAAAAAGCGGTGGAAGCGGACAGATCTGAGTGCCTTCATGAAGATGCTGAAACAGGAGATTGTGTACCACAATGTATTTAGTACACAGTCAGAGGTCTTGAGATGTAGGAACTAATCTGCAGGTCTCAGCTCCATTTGATAATCTAGAGCAACTCAGGCTTTCCTGCTCTTCTGGTTTTAATAATCATTCTGTACTTCTATCTACATCTCAGCTCTTTCAGGAAGCTGACACTGACATTTACTGACCAAAAATATAAATATGTTTTATTTAATGCATTATGCATTAAAAATTAAATCTATTTAATGTGTTTATGCATTAATATACATACAATGACAAAATAATTTCGTTAAGAAAATTTTTTCATTACACTCAGTGTTATTCCTTACTTTTAAGACACAGTGCTTTTTTCATCCATTATATCTTTGGCTGGATCCAATATTAAATATATTATATGCACACATATATAAAATAGCATATATATAACATATTATATATAAGCATAAATATTAAATTACTTTTAAAAAATACTACGAAGTTACTACTAGAATACTACTAGAAAATTTAGAGAATGTTTCATTTCTTTATCAGGTCCTTAGTGTCAAATCAAACAGTACAGTATAATAGTATAAACAAAGTAATAGTATAACCATATAACATGATACATACAGTATAATAGTATCATATGACAAAATAAGAAAGGTTTGAAAATATCTAATGTAATAATAGTAAGTATATAAGCAGCCACAAGTAATGATAAAAGAACCTTGTTCTTAGGGAATATGTAATTACAAGACCTTCACTTTATATTGTTACTGAAATATTTGTTAGGAATACTTCAAGTGAACCAGGGAATGGTCAGAAAAACAAAAGCAAGCAGGTAAAGTTGAGAATAAATCTCAAATACAGCTGCCTAAAGAAGGAACATGGCCTCTTCAGAAGATTGTTGAAATCCCTGGGCAAGGCTGGCAGTGAGACTGTCAAGGGAGTCACCCACTCACTGGACTTTGGTGGTGCCAAAGCACGGGACTGCCCGAGAAGATAAAGAAAAGTGGGCCTGTAGCTGTTTGGTAAAAGGATGACCACTAAGTTTCCTCCTGTATCAATTAATAAATGACAGCTCCCACCAAACTTTTTAGAGATACCTAAAGGTGCATATTGCCCACTGCTCTGTTTGCTAGCTCACACTTTACTAACTCTCCTCACAGCCTTCATTGATATGACTTTTGATACCACCTACCAATCCACACCACATTAACATAATGATTTTTATGACAAATAACTGCAACAAACTTTTCAGTATTTTGGTTTCTGTCATCAGCAAGGGAAGGATTTCTTCAAGAAAGAAATACTTGAGAAATACAAGAGAAATACTTGAGAAAAACAAGAGAAATACTTGTTTTGGTGATCAAAGCAATAAAGCAAAAACACAGAGATGAGCTCTCTGAAAATCCTTCTCCATCCAAAAATACTAGTGTTTTATAAGCTGTGTAATATACTGATTCCAGAGACATACATCTAGGACTGTAGCTGTTTATTATCTCTTCTTTGCCACTGCTTAATGATGTCTCCCAAGCTGCTGCATATATAAAAAATAAATGTTTCTCTTTTAAAATGTTTTATCTTCACGTTTAACTTTTAGTTCTCTCATGGGAAACCATATATATTAAGAGATTACTTCATACTTCACAGCAAGAGAAGGTTTTAAGCTTGAGTCTCTTACCACATGCTGCATTAAAAGGAACATTTTATAAAGACCAAGCTCAAACAAAAATCCATATTCTTTTTGTCCAACTGTATTTTGTAAATGCCAATCCAGCTTCTTTTCCAGTGTATGTTTAGGTGCTGCGAATTCGAAGGAAAAATTATGTGAAGAACATTGGAACTCTTTTTTTCTTTTTCTTAAACAGAGATGCAGGGAGATTTTATTTACTGTGTACAGGTGAAGCCCAAGAGAAGGGAACCCACGCTTATTTATTTTTCAAACTAATCTTGACACAGACACAGGGAAACACCATACCTGACTGGAATAGAAGTTATTTTAGAAGAGAAAAAAGACAAAAAGTGAGCCAGAAAGCTACCTTGTTCCAACACCTTCTCCATTCCAGCACGGGAGCCCATCGGCAGCTGCCAGCTCGTTCCCGCACAGCTGATCCGCCAGGCCGCCGTAGAAGGCCTTGTAGAGCCGCAGGTGGCTGAGAAACTCCCTGCACACGGGAACACCAGAAATAATTGTCAGTGTCAACCAACAACACCGAGCTGTCCTGCTGTTGTGCATTTCTGTAAGATAAGGAATGTGTTTATTCCATTACTCTCCACTGGTTCCAGGGATATTTTAAATTGATCTGTCAATAGATGAGTTTGATTCTTTTAGATACGCTTCATTAGTTTACAAAGTTGATACTCCCACTGCTCAAATTAAAAAAAAAAAAAAGCCAAAAAAAGCCTGCTTTACATATGCTCTGGAACAGGAACTATTTCTTTCAACCTGAAATTTTCTTGCATTGTAGTGATACAGTTAGCAATGCTATAGTTGGACAAATAGATGAAAAAATGCTCCAAATAAAAAGCATAGCAAATAAAAAAATAGGTGCAGATGAATAAGTCTCCTGTTTTCCAAAAGTGCTGACAAGAAGTCCCCTACCTATCTTTACAAATACTACAAAAAATGTTTTTTAAAGTTATGCAGTGACTCAAGATTCAGGTAAGATGGGTTTAAGATGTAGGGGTTCAGTATTTAGTAAAGATTAAAATAACCATCTGAAGAATTGCATCATTTCTACCATGTGCTGTGCTGGAAGGTTATAAATTATGTATTGTTATTTTAAATAATTTTAAAGATGCCCAGAGGTAATGATAAGGTTTTGTACTTAATTCAAAACAAATGAATTACTTTTTGGTTGGCATGTTCTTAATAGAATTGTGGTATTTAATATACATTGTTTGTTTATGAATTGAAAATCTCTTTCTGGGAGACCCTTTCCTACTGGGAAAAATTAAGATACTTATTCATTCTGAAATGGAACATGACACATTACTGAGTTATTTATGACCTGCAGGCACACAGAAAAGCCCTGCCAAATGCTGTACTCTGTTACTGCTCTGTAACCCAGCAAGCTCCACTTTACGTTAACTCTTTTTATAGTGTCTGGAGTTGTGAAAAAATGCCAGAAATAGTATATACATTTCCCTATATTTAATTACCATAGGACTATATGCTATAGGGAATTTAATTGTTTAGTATTGTTTACCTCAAATTAAAACAGATAAAACATCAGTGATTTATACAGTCCGTCATTTAAAAAGCCATATATTCTTTCATGTAATAGGGCAAATATTTTACACAAACTACAGTAATTTTATTTTACTATGTCTATTAAATGTGATGTGAGTGCCCTACTAATTCTAAAACTGCAGTTCTGAAAAATCCCATGTAGGGTCAATTTTGACTATGCAACATATATTTGCCTATGTGCATTAGGTTTTAACTATGATTCATCCACACTCTCCTAGCCATGAATAATCATATCTTTTGTTTCTCCACACCCAAAACTGAACCCAGTGTGCACAGTGGCTTTGCAATTTCCCTCCAAATGCCATTGAGTAGATTGACTTTGATTTTGTCTATGGTTTATGTTTACATTCTGGATGAAAAATAGTGTTTAGATAGTCCTCTCAAAGTGAACAGTGGAATTTCTTCTGAAGAAGAAATAAAAGTAAATAAATATAGCTGTCATAATATCTTGTCACAAACTGCATTCTAACAGAAAGGTCATTTGGTTTATTAGTAAATACATCCTCAGGCAAAGATAAATTTAATAGAGAAGTAATAACTGATTTCAGCCCCTGTTGATGTCTGACCAAAGTAGTTAGAAGGGCAAATGGTATGAATGTCAATTTTCACATGATCATCCCCTAGACCAGATAGCATGTAATTACAGGCAGCTGACCACAAATGTGCAATCACAGTCAGTGGAAGTTGAAGATAAAAAATAATTCTGAATAAACAGATAAAAAGTTTGTTGTTGTTTTTTGTTTTTTGGGTTTTTTTTTTTTTACAATTTCATCCTCTGTACTAGAAGCTGTTTACAGTTCTGGAGAAAAAAAGTATTACACACTTCCAAGTTTGTATGTTGCTATGGAAGGGTTTGCTTCGATTTTTTAAAATTCATCTAACAATTTTTTGGCATCAAAAGAAAGGAGAAATTTCTTTTTTTTCTCGTACCAAATAGTACCAGAAAATACCAGCTTAGGTTCAATGGTAAAAATAATTCATGAGAAGTTCAGGCAGCAGCAGCCCAACATGGACTTTAAAATGTAAACTTTCATCTGGACATGCATTTGGAAAACAGAAATACCACAGGAGGTAAATAAGGTGGAGTTAGAGGAGAGCATTTCCTTAAGACCAGGCTGCAAGCACTCACTGAAGTCACACTTCCACGTGAGGTTCTTACAGTTGCTATGGGAATATAAAGTAAAATGTAAAGTGACTGTGCCTGATAAGGAAGGAGGTGATCCAGGAGGCAGCAACTGCAGGTGACAGCAGATAGGAAATTGTTAAACTGGAATCTGCATCAATGGATTTCAAACTTTCTTTGCCTTCCCCTTTTTGGTGCAGTTTGCATGCCATGAAGTGTCTCCAGAATCTCAGACAGAAGGGAAGGGAAGGGAAGGGAAGGGAAGGGAAGGGAAGGGAAAACAATGTTGCTTTGTGTTGCCCCTCTCAGGGGTCTCTCAGGCAATGTCCCTCAGGTCAATAGAGTGTTCTGCTTTGAAACATGGAATAGTCCTGGTTTAAGTGAGATTTTAGAATACGGTATTGTGTTTGCAGAGTGTTAGCAATCAGAAAACATCAAGAACTTGCATGTAACTGAAAAACATGCACCCATGTAATGGTGCTCGCTGAAAAATGTCTGTGCTGGCTAAAGCAAACTTATGGTTTGCATATCTTCCTGTTACCACAATGTTTTCAAAACTCTCTATTTATATTTTGCATTGTTGTTTTTTGTTTCCACTATTTAGTAACTGAAGGTCCTTACACTGAGAAGAATGGTTTGCCTTTGAAGCTCAGAGGCACCTTTTCTTCTCCAGACATCAGGAGTGAGCAATTATTCCCTGCAATTCTCTCACTTCTGTTTCCTTCTGCACTACAAAGTGAAATGAGAGAAAAAAGAGGACAAAGAAAACTTCTCTGTACTTTAGTAAATGCTGTAACATAAATGAAATTTCTGATTTTAACTTGGTACTTTATTTGCATAATGGAGCCTTTAATCTTAACTGCAACATTCCTAATGCCTTAGAGTGCTATTATGGCCATTAAAAATGTGATTAACTTCTCTAAATATAGATTGGCCTTTGAGATTCCTTCAGCTACCTATGATATCTGCAGAAAGCTGGAAGCCACCACAGAATCACAGAATCTGCTGATTTAGAAGGGACTCACAAGGATCTTTGAGTCCAGCTCTTAGCCTTGCACAGGACCACTCTCAAGAGTCCCACCATGTGCCTGAGAGTTATGTTCCAAACACTTCTTCAACCGTGTCAGGCTTGAACTGTATGATACAACTTATAGGACACCTGTGTCCTTCTCAGCAGGAGATCAGCTGGGACACCCCAGGGTATCTCTGAGTGGCACTGGATGCTTACAGACCTGTGGGCAGCTAAAATGACTTCTCCTTTCCGCAGACTGTAATGGCAGCTCAAACACCTACCTCACACAGTTACACAAAGTTCACCCTGTAATGCTGAGCCAGGTTTAAATGAAATCTCCAAGCCTCTGCAGTCACTTCATTTCACTATATACCAGCAAAAGAGCCACAGAAAAAAAAATCAGCAGGTCTTGCTTGAACAAGGCTTTCAAGATTTAGTCCCAAATGCTTAATTGTCTGGCTTTTTACAGCAGAAAGGTATGTAAGAAAAGTCATTCATTTTTTCTGTCTTATCAGCTTGTACAAATAGTTTTCTGTAAAAAGCTACAGTCACTTTTTTCAGATTTAATAATGCCTACTGATATGTAAAGTTAAATTTAATTTTAAAAATTACACATAGAGCTAACACACATATTCTATCAACGTTATCCACCCTCCTAAATAATTTAAACCACACCAAATTACTCTGGTCATATGTCCATTACTTCTGAAAACAAAATCTAGTAATTAAATTGCCGTTTCCAAAATGTAACAGAGTAGACTGTGTTGCTAAAATGTTTCATTCTTTGGAGACTTTATTTGCTAGTAATGCATGCCATTGCATTGAGCATAACCTACTCTGTTGTAAAATTAATGGCTTACTTTAGTCTTTCTTTCTGGCTGTAAAACTAATGTCTTACTTTCTTCTGTTGGTGAGTGTTTGTTCACTGTCTCTGGAGAACATCTTCAACCCTTGATTATCTTTGTTCTGATCAAAGGAGCAACCTGGAGACTGTTTAGGCTTCCTTACAGGAGGACCACATATCTTATTCACCTAAAAGGAAAAAAAGTCACAAGAAGAAGGAAAGAACACATGTAAGCAACAATTGCTATGAGTCTCTCAATTCAGCTTCACTACATTTTAACAAGAAAGATAGACTAAGCTACAAAAAGCATCATTAATTATCACACTATGTAACACTGTATCCATAATGAATGCAGCAAACACATAATTAGTCATTTTATAGTAAAAAAAAATAGTAAAAGCATTCCTTTTTTAGGGATACCAAGTGTATAAGAAAGTCACCATGCATTTTATTGATTGTGGTGCTTTTTTTCCCATAAGGAAGTGTATTTTTATGTAGACGGTATCAGAATCCTCAGAGAATATGATGTGTTGTGAACAACAGCATATTTACATTTGTTCTGTAATGTATCCCAATCACATTTCTAATATGCATTGAACTTTGTGCCTTCTTTCAGGGTCGATGAATATTATGGCATATTCAGCCCAGTTACACAAAGATATAGTGAACAGTTAGCAGGGTGGAAACTTGCATTACAACACTGAAAGACGTTAAGGTAATGACCCAGGATGGAAGTTTAATGATATTGGACCACAGTTGTTGAAAACATCAAGCAGCTTTCTGGTCTAGATGTCAACAGATAAAAATTCACATGAAGTCTCATTTTCTTCTTTGTAAAATGTGATACTGGGCATTTTGTATGACACAGGGTATCACATTCATAGCTCATTACTCAAATGTGATACTGGGCATTTTGTATGACACAGGGTATCACATTCATATCTCATTACCTAGTCATTGAATAAAAAAAAATTAGGAATATACATATATTTATTAAATAAGGGATAGTTATGCTTGTAATCACATCTGACAAGATACATTAAGCAGACTGAACAGCATGCATTTGTGTAAGCTAGCACTGGTAAAAAACTAATACTGAATGTGACTTATGAAAACTTGGTAGTCATTAGGTAGTCAACTTTTAGAGAGAAAAGGGGAGAGAGGAGATCAATGTGGCCTCTAAGGCAGACATCCAACCTTGAAGCAGAAACATATTCAAAATGCTACCATGTGAAGGAAGGAGTGTGTATGCTACACAAAAAGGATTATTGTTTCCTATTTTATATTCCCACATATAAGAACAGAGACAGCAAATAAATCTCATTTTCAAGTTATCATCATGCATTAAAGAGAGAAATGCAAGTCTTACAGACCATCTTTCCAACTAAGAACTCCTGCAGAGCTAGTTAAGAAATAAATTTAAAATATAAAATAGAATAAACACATTTAATTTTAATGAGTTTGTTGGCATGCATGTTGTACATGGTGACAATGAAAGATTCACTGAATGCATTTGCTTAGGTCAGTGAAAAGAAGAAAGAATCAGCATTATTACTACATAAGGACTAGTGTTCACCTTATGATCTGAAGTGGAAGGTAAAGTTAAAAGTGAGTGGTCCTTTTAGGCTGTGGTTCACGTGTCACAACACAGGCAGCCAAGTTATAGTTTAGACCCACTCCAAATGACATGCCTGAATTTACCTGCAAGACAATAATCTCTGGACATATGACTAATGTCCTTTAAGGGATTACACTTTGAACATCACTTGAGGCATTCATGTCACCATTTCTTCTTAGAGGCAGTGTCTCTCTGGACAGCATCTTACTACATTCCTTCTTGTCCTCAAATTCAGTTTCAAACCTCCTTCACTCTATTTCCCCCAATACTTTTTTCTCAGAACACATTAAAGCATATTCCACCGGTTTAATTGGACTCCTCATTTTCCCCCCTTGCAAGTTTCTACACCTTTTCTGTGCTTCATGCACCCTTATGCAAGTCTGCTCCTTCAGTGCCAGCCTCTGCAGCAGCTTATCACATCAGCCCCTCTATGCCAATATAATGGAGATATACCAGAGACACAAAATGTTTCCATCATTTCATTTGTCTCACTTTTATCATATTCTTTTATGCTCACTGAAGTGATACAGGGAGTATTATGCTTATGATCAGCTTCTATGACAAAGCAACTGATTGTTTGAGTTGCCTCAGTTCCAGCTTCCCGTATACTCTTCAGCTATTCTTTGTCTTACCAAAAATAAAAATAAGGTTTAACAGAGAGTGAGAGTCAGATCCAGATGTTTGGGAAGGAGTCATATCCAGATGTTTTGTCTCTTGACATGCCTGGGTCAGGTGTGTAGGGTGTTATAGGTCTCAAGTGACTTGCACATCTGAACAAGGCAGCTTTGCTGTCCAGGCACCCACAGAGCCTGACTGCAGGGTGAGAGCCTGTGGGGAGAGGAGAAACAGGGTGGAGGTGACCTGCTGGCTAATGCAGCCCCTGAGCAGATGAGTAACAGTCCTTCAGGTCAAGGGAAAAAAAAAAAAAAGACAAAAATAAATAAATTAGCTCCACTTATAGTAAACTGAAAAAACCTCATATACATTGACCTTCACTAGGAAAACAAGAGAATCCACAGCTATCTGTGTTTCTTAAATTTACAGTAAAGTCTCATAATATTTTGCTCTGACTAAAATGAACAAAAAAAAAGAAAATCAATAATTTTTACAGTCATAGTGCCTTGGAATATGGATGATACTTGTTTTACATGTGCTTTACATAGTCAGCTTTTTCAAAATACTGTCTTACAGCCTTTCTCTGGTCTCTTTGAGTCAATGTCTCAAGAAATGCATTTGCAATAGTAAGAAATTTGCATTCACTGATACATGTAAATACATACCTTAGTTTCAGATACAAAATCTTTCTTAAAAAGTAATCTTGGGCAAACTTTATATATAAAAATAACATTAAAAACCAGTAATTATCTGAAATGTCTTTTTAAGATTTGATTTTTTTCCCCAGTGCTGGAAAATTCTGAAAATTCTAATAAAAAGCATTTTGCACAGCGCCACATACACCTCTGCCATTCTCACAAAGATATGCATGACAGTAATCATCCTGCTGAGAACTCAGTTCTGTTAATGAGGGCAGCAGCACAAAATTCACTCTTTAGCAGCCACTTACTTATTCAGACAGAGTTTCTGAAGGATGAGCTACTTCAGCATTTACAACGGTGATGTCAGCATCTCTAACCTTTCTCATCTCTGTGATATTTAAACCTCTGGGACCACTGGCTTTTTATGGTCTTGGTTCTTCTCTCTGTGTTTGGTTACACCATGCTCATATTGCCCACCCAGCCGAACCCAGCCTGGGGTTTTTTAACTGTTCAGTAGTGTCTGTCACTTTTATGTCATTAACTTTATGTGCATGACAAATTTACTTTTGCCTCCCTCACTAGCCCAGTCTTCATTATCACCTTGTTTCTGCATTAAACTTGTGCATATGAAAATGTCATGTACTCTTGCCTTGCCTTCAGGTGTCTGTTCTGTCTGTGAGCCAAATAATTTATAACTCAAACATTCCAGTATTTCATTTCTTAGTACAGGGCTGATGACAGTCTAAAAACCAGATAAAAACAGTTCCCATAATAATTTCTGCTTTATATTTATCTTTTAATGCTTTCTTTATATCTACAGGAAGAAATACATGTGATAAGCATAACACCACCTAGTTGTACTTACTGTGTTTTCTGAAGGACTTCAACTATATCCATTAGCTACATTGTTTCCTAATTTTTAGTCTCTGGACTGCAAAATTAACATTCCAATTGAGAAATCATTCAGTGCTTTTTTGCCAGTCTTGAGAGACTGGAATCATAACTTTGAGAGAAGAGCAACGCTTTCACTGCCCTACGGAACTAATAAATTACTATTTTGCAGCAACATCTGATCAGAATCTGTTCTTACTATCTATCTTCCAGTGTAACTGAAATGGGATTTCCTCTGAATGTTTCCATAAACTGAGCATTTTTCTTGGCTTCAAAAACAAGAGAGTGTGAAAAATTATTCTCAAAGGGGATGAAAATAGAAAAGTGAAACCGAAAAATCAACTGAAAAAGAATTCAGTGAGATACCTTTCACTGAATTTCAGGAAGACTTAAAGACTTCCACAAAATTTTAAAACAGGCATGCTTCAGCAACTTGCTAGGATTTTTTCTTTTTTTTTTTTTTTTTTTTTTTTCATTTTTGAAACATTCTTAAATACCACACAATATTTAGGGGCATAAGAAGAAACCTCCAAAAATCATAAAACTCCTGATTTTCACAGTTCAGACAAACCTATTGTCATCATAGTCAGCATGCTGTTATTACACACAATTTGTACGCCACAGTATGATGACTGAGTTAATTAAAAGCTCTTGTAATAACCATGCAGTTAAATTGCAATTAGTGCCACACATGAACTTTATGGCAGTTTGATTTTCCTTAGTAGTGCAATTCCTTAGAATGCCTACATTATGATTACTCACAGTCTGGAAAACTGGAGCATTACAAACCTTTGTATTTAAACAGGACTGCACCATGATGGGAGCATCACAGCAATAATGGTCAGACACTAAGTTCAGACACACGGTATGAGAAATGTGTCATATTCTTTGTTTCGGTTTTGGTTTGTGCCTTTTGCTCTTTTTTCCCACAACACAAATGGTTCTTTCTGACTTCAGCATTTCTACTGAAATTATTTTACATCAAATGACTGAAGCAAACAACACACAGTCCTGTGATACACCTCAAACTAGATTTACCAAGTCTCAGCAGACTCAAGTTTTAAGGCTTGCATGGACTATCGCCACAAAGATGCCTTGAAGGTCTGTGAGACTGGATCAATCTAGTTACCACCTGACACATACTCCATTTACAGGAAATCCTGGAGATATATACATACATGTATGAAAAACATACAGTCCTTGCTAAACTTGCCAAAAAACACCATGAAAGAGTTAAAGGAACTCTTTAAATAAAGGGCAGTTTCCAGACTCCTGATTCTGATACCCAGCCAGATCTGAGTGAAAGACCAAGAGGTTTTGTATCCCGAGAGGTGTCTTCTCCCCTGTTCCGCGATGCACAGCACAGTCTGTGACCAGCTATGCCATAACATGATTTTATTTAATGCATGTTTTAGCTAGTGAT